GAATCTAATTTGTCAAGACAGGATTTTGATCATTGATATGACTTTTAACTTGCTGGTTCTATGTTGGCTCATAGGGTTATGGCTTGACAGAGAGCACCGGGCCAGCCTCAGCGACGTTTGGACCTGAAGAGATGGTGAGATACGGCTCAGTTGGTCGTATCTCTGAGAATTTAGAAGCTAAGATCGTTGATCCATCCACTGGAGAAGCTTTACCACCGGGAAAGACCGGTGAGCTCTGGCTCCGAGGACCAGTCATTATGACAGGTAACGCAATAGTTGAGGAACATGGCAAGAGCTTTTCACTGCCATTTTGCTCTCTCTCTCTCTGTCCTGAGCTTGTGTAAACTAAATGACTTTGCATATAAGAATCTAGGACTGGGTCCGGTTTCATGAATCTTGGAATCTAATTTCTCATCAAGATTGTGATTTCTAACTTCATGGTTTATAATTGGTGATTGTTGAGCACAGGTTATGTGGAAAACGAGAAAGCAACTGCTGAGACATTAGATCAAGAAGGGTGGTTAAAGACTGGTGATCTCTGTTACATTGATGCAGAGGGGTTTCTATATATAGTTGATCGGCTAAAGGAACTGATCAAATACAAGGCTTATCAGGTAAATATATACTAATGAAAATTTCCAAGGAGTTCTAGTCTTTGGAGTTTTAATATTAACCAATTAGCATATCATAATATAGGTTCCACCGGTAGAGTTGGAGCAGATTCTTCACTCGAATCCGGACGTGGTTGATGCTGCAGTTGTTCCGTGAGTATAGTTAACAGAAGATACTCAAATTTTGTAACTTTTTTTTTGAAAAATGTGTGTTTCTGATACCAACATGGATCATCAATTCAAGGTTTCCGGACGAGGGTGCAGGAGAGATTCCAATGGCTTTCATAGTGAGAAAACCAGGAAGCAATCTCAACGAAGCGCAAATCATTGATTTTGTGGCTAAACAAGTAATGCTCTCAAGACAAGACAATTTGTTTTTGGGATTATGATTTGATGTTTTGGGATCTTGTTGCTTATGTACTTTTTTGTTTGTGTAGGTTGCTCCGTACAAGAAAGTACGACGAGTTGCTTTCATAAACGCAATTCCAAAAAATCCTGCTGGGAAGATTCTTCGTCGGGAGCTTACTAAAATCGCTGTCGATGGAAATGCGTCTAAGCTTTGAGATAACCGGCCGGTTCATATATGATTGTATCGGTTCTCAGTGAATATGGGGTTGATCAACCGAATTTCTCCATTCTTATCAAATCTATAATTTTTTTGCTTTTGTTACCACCATTACTAACTATCATGAGGGATTGATTGGTTCATATATGATTTAAATTTTGATTAGACCGTTCGATCAACGTGAGTAACAGCATCACAACCGTCAAACCAATAAAAGCATAGTCAGCATTTAGAAACACGAAAATCCAACGGTCATAAATTAGAGCTCACCTTATTTTAGTACACCCGCAAACACCATATAAATCGATAAATCTATATATATAATAACAAAGTTTTCTCTCCATCCAACGTGTCCACATAGGCAAAACAATTT